TGGAAATGTTCCCAAGTGCTGAAAGGTTTCCCAGCTTAGCAAAGCGCGTGCTCGTCTGGAAAGTCACACTGTAAAGCGTGTTGTTCGTTAGTCTTTCACAAAACAACTTTTAATGACTCAACCATTTGCAGCTGATTAAAATGGTTCGCTCTTCCAATCAGGGAATGTGAACAATGTCATGTGACTTTCGGTGACCAACTACGTGTCCCAAACAACGAATAGTCTGAGTGAACTGTTCACAATCGACTTACAGTCTGAAAATTATTCACTCCAACACATTCACTGGAAAAAAGTTAGATTGATTCATACACCGTTTTCTAACCAAGAAAGGTCTGATGTCATGATGCATGCTGTACATAATGAATAGCTCAACCAAGTTCATGAAATGAGACAGTTTGCAGATCCTCACATACTCTGACTTTTTTTACATTGTCCCTTTAAAGAGCTATTTACAAAACCAAAAGAAAAGGTGTAACATTTTTCCCAAGCGCCTATGTCACTTCGGAGTCTGGGACTCATTAAGAGTCAAAGGGAATTAGGCATTTTTGCAAATTGGATTTAGGTTCCCAAGTCACTTACACACTTTTGAAAATTTTACCCACAATCTATGGCAGAATGAGAGCTGACATCAAACTGAAAATGAGGGCCCGAGTCTGCTCCCCCTTTTATTAGTGTAACAACACTGCAATGGAGTTGCTCCTGTTTTACACTAGTGTTAATGAGAATAAGGCCCTAGGGCTTTGGCTACATGGGAAGGTTTTGCAGTATAACCTAAGGTGTGAATTTAAACCATTATAATTCTACCAGCATAACTCCCTCTATGGACACTCATACCAGAATAAGTGTGTCCACACAGGAGGCTGGCTATGCGGTATAACTATAGCAGTGTAACTGGTACAATTTTCCCATGTAGACAAGGCCTTAGTTAAATCAAGTCAAGTTCTAATATGCTCCACGGCCATTATAATATCCCTCCTCATTCTACATGAGAATAGCTACTACATTCACATACAATCTTATCATGTCCCATAGGGCTGAATGCTCAAGATGTTAGGTGCCTAAATACCTCTGAGGGTCTAGTCCTGACTCCTCTTCCCATCATGCAGTCCAAGCAGTGCTGGGCAAGCAGGGCCGGCTCCAGGGTTTTTGCCGCCCCAAGCGGCGGAAAAAAAAGCCGTGATCGTGATCGGAGGCAATTCAGCAGTAGCTCCACTGTGCCACTTTCTTCTTCGGCGGCAATTCGGCGGCTGGTCCATCCCTCCGAGAGGACCGAGGGACCCACTGCCGAATTACTGCCAAAGAGCTCAACGTGCCGCCCCTTCCCCTTGGCCGTCCCAAGCACCTGCTTGCTGAGCTGGTGCCTGGAGCCGGCCCTGTGGGCAAGGCAGGTGGGGGAGCACTGCCTTGTGCAGCGTCACTTTGCATTGGGTCACTTGACCTCTGCAGGTGGCTTCAGGGGCAGTGACCAGCAGCGATCAGATGGCAGCATGGCCAAGGGCTGTGGGAGCAGAGCAGGAAGCTACCCAAAAGCACTGGGCCTCTGTGCAGATGGCATTGGCCTCTGTGGGTGTCCAAAGAACTGTGCAGGACTTAGCAACATTTACAAGACTAGGGGGCCAAACCCCAGCTGGAGCCCTGTTCTTCCCAGCCTCTTAGGGAATGATTTGGAGCAACTCTGGTAGTTTTGTACCCCCTTAGCTTGGCTTTTCCCCGTGTAGGAGATAATGTGGCCACCAAAAATTAGAGATGGAGAAGATGTCTTAGGTCATCAAGTCAATCCCTGCCAGCACAGGATTGTACTTTGGGGCTTATCTATACATGGTCTTTGTATCACTAGAACTACAAACCTCTAGTGTGGATGCAGTTATACTGCTGCTTATAGTTACAGCAGTACAAAATCTGGTGTAGACCAGCCCTTATAGGGTCATTCTTAAGTGCTTTGCTCAGGTCAGTTTCCCACCATTCAAGCACTGGGCCTTGCAGTGCTACCCATGGGTCTTCTCTCATTCCAGATGGGATTCCCAGCTGGGCAGCCCAGCCCATCATTGTCCCAGATCCCACATTTGCCATCCTTCTGGATGTATCAACAGCTAGGTTTCCTCTTTGTGATGCAGTTAACAGTGACTAATTCCAGTGTGTGTGTGATGGGGTGTCCACCCCACACAAGGCAGAGCAAGCTGCACCTTGGGGGGAGCGAGGGATTGAAAGGCTGATTGATGATGGAACCCAGCTGAGAAGGAGCAGGTGGGGCTGGTATAAAGCCAGGAAGTTCACAGCAGAAAGGGGCTTCTGGGGAAATAGTCTGCAATCACCCCCTGGGAGAAGGGAGTTTGGGCTGATAAACCCGGAGGAGTCAGAAGATGTAGGAAGGAGTCCAGGGCAATAGCAGCAGGGTCTGGGAAAAAGCAGACCACAATTGCTAGACATAGGGTCGCTGGACTGGATCCTGGAGTGGAGGGTGGGCCCGGGTTAGAAGTGATGCAGACTGGACAGTGGAACAGAAGACTGCCTGGGACTGTCGTCCAATAGGACTTTGCAACCCCAGAATGGGAGAACTATAGTGACCGGGCTGGAGGGCCAAGCCATGAAGAGAGTACCTCCTGAGTCACACACAGAGAGGGAGGGAAGTGGCAAGGTGTGTGAATGAGTGGCAGAAGGGGGTGTTGGACCCAGAAGGAGCTGGTCCCCAGAGCAGCCAGGAGGAGGTGCCCTAGTAGTGAGAGGACCCTGTGACACCTTGCCCTTTCCCATAGTCCTGGCCCCTGTCATCAGCTGGGACTTGGAAAACATTAGCTCCCCCATCCATCAGCAAACATTCTTTAGCATCTAATGTTGCAGTTAATGCTTAATTTCATAGCAACCTTTGTAACTAATAGGCTACTAGAGAGAATCTGAGTGAATCGTGGATAGACACGGGTACAGAGACGTTATTCCAACAGCAGCACAAGCACTGGGGCTGCTGACACCTTCCCATCAGCCTCCTGCCACCCTGGAGCTTTAGATGGTGAAAGACACTGGATGGATAGCCCTAGAGACCAATGGGGGGGGGGGGGGAAATAGCTCAGCGGTTTGAGCATTGGCTTACTAAACCCAGGGTTGTGAGTTCAATCCTTGAGGGGGCCACTTAGGGATCTGGGGCAAAATCAGTACTTGGTCTTGCTAGTGAAGGCAGGGGGCTGGACTCAATGACCTTTCAAGGTCCCTTCCAGTTCTAGGAGATGGGATATCTCCATTTAAAAAAAAAAAAAATGATTCTGGGTCTTCACAGCATGGACAGTGGCAGCACAAGCATCTTCCATATTCCCAGCCATTGTGCCTCACCCCTGGCCTGGAAACACCAGTGTGAAAGGGGAGTTTGTTCTGCACGGCACATTCAGTGCTTGGCCTATCTACTGTAGTGGTGGTGGATGGTTAGCTAGTGGGAACTGGATCAGCACCACCAAACAGCAGGATGATGGTGCCGACTTTCATCATAGAATCATAGCATCATAGACTATCAGGGTTGGAAGGGACCTCAGGAGGTCATCTAGTCCAACCCCCTGCTCAAAGCAGGACCAATCCCCAACTAAATCATCCCAGCCAGGGCTTTGTCAAGCCTGATCTTAAAAACTTCTAAGGAAGGAGATTCCACCACCTCCCTAGGTAACCCATTCCAGTGCTTCATCACCCTCCTAGTGAAAAAGTTTTTTCTAATATCCAACCTAAACCTCCCCCACTGCAACTTGAGACTCCTTGTTCTGTCATCTACCACCACTGAGAATAGCTGAGCTCCATCCTCTTTCAGCTACTGAGGTCCAGGAACAGATTAGAACCAGCATTATCAGGCCATGCCTTTAAGGGTGTGTCACTCTGGGAGGAGTGTGTGGCCGTAGCTCCCTGAGAAATGGGCTGTGCCCCTTTTCTGGGGGCACAGGCAGGAAAAGCTGAGGGCCTGGTGCTGAACATAAACTGGGGTGAATCTCTGCTAACTATTCCCACCCAGCCACGAGTTTTGTTGGGATAGCTATTTCAAGAGAGAGATGCTTTTATGGGAAGGAAGAGGTTGTGGTGTTGTGAGATACAGGCCAGGTCTACACTAGAAATGTTTGCCAAGCCAATGATGTTGGGCGTCGGGGGCGGGGGAACAACGTGATTTTTACCACATTTCTGCATGGTCCAAGCCAAGACATTGGGATCAGAACCCAGATCCAGAGCTGACTTGTCCAAAAGTTTGGGGCTGTCCTCTAGCCGATGGCATGTCTGTTTGTAAAACAGCTGTGGTGTCTGCAGACCTGAAATGCCCATGTTGGGCCCATTTTAAAGACATCCCCCCCACCTCCTGTCACTGGCTCTAAAGGCATCAAGGTGTCGTGGGCACCAAGATCCAGACTTGAACGCAGTCATCTTTTAGGGTCTAAAATATCCAGGTACCTTTTGTTATTTCTCTTTCTGCCTGTCCAGGTTCCATCCCCTGTAACAGGAAGTGCCGTGGAACAACCGCTTATCCGGAGGTGGCTAGTCCAGAGTTCAGCACGTGTCAGATGTTCGGGGGTGTTCTGACCAGATTTGGAAAAGTCTGCTGGGCCTGAACCAAAACCCCAGATCCAAACACCCACGGCATTGTGGAACGTCACGTCTGGGGGGAATCTACTTCCAAACCAAAACCACCTGACCAATGAATGTACACCACACACAGATCTAAGAGCCTCTGACGGGGGGCACTCCAGTGGGCTGACCCATCAGAGAGTCCAAGAGCTGGCGCAGATACATTGGCTCAGCAGGATGGTGCTTCCTTTATCAGAACTGATGAGCTGATTAGTGCAATCTGTAATTCAGTCCATTTATGAACTAGTCAGTTACACTGTAACTCAGCTCTCCAATGTTTTCACAAAAGAGCTGTGAAAAACCAATAAGTTTAGGAAAGGCTGATCATTCCCCTGCGATGCCAAGCATAATTAATGGAGTTAATATATTATCTTTAAAAACACAGCTCTCATTTCTTTCACAATCAGCAGCCAATAACCGTGGTTATAGATTGACTCCATGAACAATGTCGGGTGTATTGACTAAAGTCCTCCCCATGACCATAAAAAGCGTCACTCTACAAAGTCCCCTTGGAAATCCCAGTGGCACTCTGCAGGAGAATGGGGAACAGTTCGGAAGATTTGTCTCAAACCAAGGTGAACATGTTGTTTGCTATTACCATATTTTCACTCCCTCCCCTTCCCTCTCCCCAAATGCATCCATTTCCTTGCTTACCAGTGTTTGATGTAACTATCTGGGAAGTGGGTGGCAAGCTATCTGTGTTGGTTGTTAGAAGGGGAGGGGAGCAGTGATCACAGGTTCTTTCTTAGACTTGTGTCTGACGTTAAAGGCAACTTATCATTTGATCATTCTTGGAAGCCAGATTTCACAAAGCGCTTCCCTTTGGACTGACTTATTCAACATACGCCTCTGGCTTAGAAGTGAAGTGGAAGCGACTTGGCCCCCAGTGAGGGGTGACTCCGCTGTGCCACTCAGGAATGGAGCACTTGACAGCAAACAATGACTTAATAGTCGGAATGAATGAGGTTCAAGTGATGCCGTTTTGTCGCTGCTGGTTCCTCTCCTTGGCACCTGCCTCACCCTGGGCAGCTCCCCCCTTCGACATGGCCCAGGGAACCCTGGCAGCTCCACTATGTGTTCACGGACTCAGCAAAAGGCTTGCGAGGTTCTAAGAATCAGGCCAAGACTGGAGGTCAGGCAGACCCTTCAGTCAGGCCCCAGGAGAGACGAGAGCCCAGAATCTGAGCCACAGAGGATAAGAACCACAGTCGGAGAAATGGGATCCAAGAAACTGAGAACTCTTGGGTTTTTTCTCAGATAAATTTGCAAGGAACTTGGTTTTATTTTGTACGGGCTGCTGTAATACAGGGACTGATGCTGTTTGCTGCTGAGCGCATGCAGCTGCCACTGAAGATACTGGGTGTGAAGTGCATTGAGCACCCCGCAGCAGGCTCAGCCCTTTGCAGGATTGGGCCCATACTGTGGCGGATTTAGTGTGACTCCTTTACAATGCAAAGTAGCAGTTATTCAAGATCCACCTTCCCCTGGGTGGGGGGGAGGAGGGCAGGAAGGGGTGTTAAACACTAGTATATTCTATAGCAATGATCCAAACCCTGTCAGTGTTACTAGTGAAGGGAGAGTGATCTGAGCACCCAGAATTCCTGGCTGCTAATCCCAGCTCTAACACCAATGGACTGGGTGACCTTGAGCAAATCACTTACTCTCTGCCTTGGATTTCCCATCTGTAAAATGGGGGTGATAGGTCACTACTATCTCTTGGGGGCGCTCTGAGGTTTAACTAGTGTTCTGTAAAGGTCTTTGAATGTGCTACACAAGTGGTGACAATACTGTTAAATCCATTCATTTATTTTAAGGAGGGATATTATGTAGCTATGTAACTGCCATTTGATTTCTCTGTACTGTACCTTTGTGTTTCTAAGGCCTGGCCTACACACCAACTGATATAGCTATTACAGTTAGGGATTGTGACTTTTCACTGATATAATTATACTGGTACCACCCTAGAGTGAATACAATTACACCATTATAAAGTGAATACAATTACACCATGCCAGTATCGCTCATTCCCCTTCCTGTATGGGGATTGCTCTACTGGTATAAGCACATTTATACTGGTTTAGCTGCGTCCACATTGAGGGATTGTAGCACTTTAACTATATCACACTGGCTACGTCTTCACTGGGAGGGGGGTCGATTTAAGATACGCAAATTCAGCTACGCGAATAGCGTAGCTGAATTCGACGTATCCGAGCCGACTTACCCCACTGTGAGGACTGCGGCAAATCGACCACCGCGGCTCCCCCGTCGACGGCGCTTACTCCTACCTGCACTGGTGGAGTACAAGTGTCGATTCGGGGATCGATTGTCGCGTCCCGACGAGACGCGATAATTCGATCCCTGAGAGATCGATTTCTACCCGCCGATTCAGGCGGGTAGTGAAGATGTAGCCTCTGATAACATTTTAGACCCATATAGTTAAAGCTGCACAACTTAGATAAAGCCTAATCTGCTCAGCTTCAAGGCCAGCAGCTGTTGTGTGAGCAGCACTGCTGCAGCATGTGACAGAGGAGACACACATACCGTGCTCTCACTGAGATGTTCCGTTTGTTCTGTCTCACATTGCTGCTCCCTGTAATGTCAAGCAAAGCCACTCAGACTGGATGGTGATGGCTGCTCTTTGCATGGGGAACAAAGACCGATTCTTCACTCTCCAGTGCTGTGGTGAGTCTCTCTGGGTTCCCAAAACAGACAAGCTGCTTTTAGCAACAGCCACCAGCCTGGTGGAAACAGTGGCATCCTTCCAATCAGCGCTGCCTGTTCTCCGCTGTGATCTTTTATTTTCCTGGTGATAGTGCTTCCACCAGCAGTTTCTCTAAGCAGTGACTTGCTTTGTCTTCCATGTCCCTCGGGGAAATGCAGAATGGAAATGCAGCTTCCGCCCGGCACGAGGGGATCCCCGAAATCATCACCGAGAACTCGTATGGGAAGGAGCCGGAGAGCGAGGACAAGGTGAGACCAGCGCTCTGCCTAGGATGCCAGGCAGCTGAGACTGCAGCTTGCCACTAGCTTTAGCTGAGGGAGGGGTCCGTTGTGAGGTGAGGGGCTCAGCTGAGCCCTGAGCGAGGGGAGGCATATGGCTGCACTGCCCTAGGAGCAGATCAAGGACCAGGCTGGGACTTGAGGAATCACAAACTGCCCCCCTTTGGCTCCATGGAAGAGGCAATCTGTGCCAGCCCTTTACCTGGTGCACATTACTGCAGGCTCAGCTAGCATGCTGTGGGGATGTCACTGGCCAGGCTCCACCCACTGACTCCCTGCCACCCCTTCTTCACCCAACTGGGTGCAAGGGCAGGCAGTGGCCCACAATTGCTGCCAGCTGCGATACAGGTAGCCACCACCGGAGAGGAAAGGGGGGCACTGTGGGCACATTGAGCACGTCACAGTCTGCTCCTAAAAAAGTGACACTCCTTGTCTTTAAAGCTCATTGTGGGCTCGTCCCACCCTATCTCCTTGTCTCTGTGTTGCCCTCCGCCCCGGCTCATGTAGCAGCTGGCCTGTCTCAGCACCACACCACTGGTGGGGCTGGCGCCAAAGCCCATTGCATCAATGGAAAAACTCCCATGGAGTGCAACTGGCTTGGTGCGAGAGCCTTCTCCTCTGCAGCCATTGGTGTCTGCAGCACCCTCCTGTAGCCCACTGACTCGCCGGGTATTTTCCCAGCTCCCTGGAGAGTCGTCCCTTCCCCTCTGAAACACAAACATTGAGGCCATTGCGGAATGTGGCAGAGTTACAGCAGGTCGTTACTTTTCTTTTTGTTGGTCAGAGACGTTCCCAAAGTCGGGGCCGTTTTGAAAAGGGATGGAGTGAAAAAAGGGAGGGGAGGAAAAAATCCCCGTCAGTGGCGTTCTATTTCACTCAGTGGCAAAATGGGGGTGGGCGCGGGAGGAGTGGAACAACAACGACCCTTTCACATCTAAAGAAACTTCACTTTTTCAAAACTGAATCGACACACCAAGAGTTCACTTAATTTTCCCTGGGAAATTTTCCTACTAAAGATTAAAAAAAACTGAACAAAAGAGTTCAAAGGGAGATTTTTCATTTGAATTTTTTTGGAGGGAGTGACAGGTATTTTGACCAGCTGTAATTGCGAGAGTCGAAAATCACTGGGGCTGGTAACGCTAGCAGGAGGATTGGGGATGAAGCACTGGGTCTGGGCAGTGAAGCCAGAGGCTTGGTGGTAGCAGAGGATCTTTTCTCTGGGTCTTGGCAACTGTTCCTGGGCCTTCAGGGGACTACATTCACAGATTCCAAGGCCTGAGGGACCGTTCTGATCAGCTAATCTGATCTCTGTATAACCCAGGCTGGAGAACCCAGGCAGTGAGGCTCGCATCTAGCCCATCATTCCTGGCTGAGCTGTAGCGTCTCATTTAGAAATATATCCAGTCTTGATTGATGGACATCAAGTGATTCAGAATCCACCACATCCCTAGATCAAGTGTGCCAATGGTTAATTACCCTCACTGAAAAATTGGTACCTTGTTGCTAGTCTGCATTTGTCCAGTGTCAGCGTCCAACCACTAGATCTTGTTCTGCCCTCTGCTGTCAGAAATCTCTTCCCCATGCAGGTACTTATAGACCGTAATCAACTCACCTCTTATTCTTCTCTTGGACAGACTAAATAGTCTGAGCTTCTTTAGTCTCTCGCAATAAGGTAGGCTTGGCAGACGCCACATCATTCTTGTAACTCTGTTCTGCACCCTTTCCAATTTCTCCACATCCTGTTTGACATGTGGCCAGCAGAACTGGACCCAGTATACAATGCCATGTGCAAAGGTAATAGCACCTCCTTATTCCTACTCAATATGGCCCTGCTCACACATCCAAGCATCACGTTCACCCTTTTAGCTACAGAATCGCACTGGGAGCTCCAGTTCTGTTGCCCCCAAAGTCCTCTGCAGCATCACTGCTTTCCAGGATCCTGTCCCTCCTCCTAAGCGTGACCCACGTTCTTCGTCCCTTGCATTTGGTTGTATCAAAAGGCATGTTGGTCAAATGAGCTGAGCTTACCAATTGATGTATAACTGACCTTGGTCCATCTCGCCACCAATTTGTGTGTCCGCTGCCCATCTTACCAGCAATAATTTTCTCCTTCCAGAGCTCTGAGAAGGATAGTGAATAGCGTTGGGCTGAGAACAGATCCCTGCAGGACCCACTAGCAACAGGGAATGCTGCAGGGGTTTAGGGCTAGCTGGCAGCTCCCTTCTTGGGCAAAACCCCTCAAGCAGCAGGGCCCTTACCAATGAGCTGGTGGGATAAGAGGAAAGCAGTTCTTTCCTGTGGATTGCACCACTCTGCCCCACATCCTCGGGAGTGAAGACACCCCTGGAGAGGCCTTTGCCCCTTGCATGTGAAATTCAGACGCCAAGCCTGCACTTTGCCCAGGAAACCCTAGAGCTTTTGGAAATGGCAGGCAAAGGGCCAACAGCTATAGAACTCCCAGGTAGCACATGGGGTTAACACAGGGTTAGAGCCAGGCCCAACTTACTGAGTTTTGGGGCCCTGTGCACTCTGGAAATTGGGAGGGGGCCCATCACTTCCCTCAAACTAGAGCTCTGCTCCAGCTGTCTGCCCCCACTTATCCTGGCAGCCCCCACACATCCCAGCAGCCCTGACCTACATCCCACTCATCCAACCAGAGGCTTCAGGGAACCGGAGATGCCAGTGCTGGGTCTGAGTGGTGACACCCAGAATCTCAGGGGGCTGTTTGGAGCCGTGCATGAGTGGGCAAGGAACAGATTGCTTTGTCCCCCCCATGCAGGAGCCAGCCAGAATCCCACTGGAGAATGCAGCCCCGTCTCCCTGCTAGCCCCTCACTGTCTGAAGGGAGCATGAGAGGTGGGACAGGGTGGTACTAAGTTCCCTTCCTCCCCTGCTGTGGGCATGGAGTAGGGAACACACTGCACTGGGGGCAGAACTATTGCTCCAGTGTGGGCTCCCTATGAGGGGCCAGCCAGATTCTCAGCTGGGGGCTCCAGATGCAATGTGGCCCTTGCAGCAGGCCCGAGGGCTCTCAGGACAGATTGGGTGAGTATGTTACTCCAAGACAGCCGGGGCATAGCAGATGTGTCTCAAATCTCCCTGCACTGGGGAGATCGCTTCAGAGACCAAGGCATGGGGGAGCAAGGAAATCCGCTCACATTTGATTTCTGTCAAGCTTCTCAGCCTAACTGCCAACCTCTGCTCTCTGCCCCTGCTGGTGCTGAAATCGCCCTTTCTCCATTTCCAGCGCCAAGCCACAGGCACAGGGAGGGAGCAGAAAGAATTCGACATGATCTATAAAATTGAAGACGTGCCCCCATGGTACCTCTGCATCCTGCTCGGCTTTCAGGTAAGGAAGGAGAGATCAGAGGGCACTGCCCCACTCTCTTGCTTCCAGTGCCCTGTTATGGTCATGACATACACACAGAGAAGTTAGTGTATTCCATGGTTTTAAATCTTTCTGGAAGAGTGCAATGTAAGACCACTTTATTTCTTAAAATCCAGTCCCTTACCAGCATAAAGAAACTAGGGTTACCATATTTCAACAAGCAAAAAAGAGGACGGGAGGAGCCCCGCCCTAGCCC